AGAAAATAAATTTCAAGCTGGGTGTGGTGGCTCTTGCCTGTAATCCTAGCACTCTGAGAGGCTGAGGTAGGTGGCTTGCCTGAGCTCATAAGTTCAGGACCAGCCTGAGCCAGAATGAGATCCTGTCTCTACTAAAAATAGAAAAACTAGGCTCGGCGCCTATAGCTCAAGAGGCTAAGGCGCCAGCTACATACACCAGAGCTGGCAGATTCGAATCCAGCCTGGGCCCACCAAACAACAATGACAACTAAAACCAAAAAATAGCCGGGCCTTGTGGCCTGCGCCTGTAGTCTCAGCTACTTGGGAGGCTAAGGCAAGAGAATCACTTAAGCCCAGGAGTTGGAGGTTGCTGTGAGCTGTGACACCACAGCACTCTACCCAGGGCAACAGATTGAGACTCTGTCTCCAAAAAAAAATAGGAAAACCAGCCAGGTGTGGTGGCGCAGGCCTGTAGTCCCAGGTGCTTGTGAGGGTGAGGCAAGGAGATTGCTTGAGCCCAAGAGTTTGAGGTTGCTGTGAGCTAGGATGCCATGGCATTCTACCAGGGCCGAGTGAGACTCTGTCTCAAAAAAATTAATTAATATGCCAAATAAAGAAAACTCTTCAATTTAGATTCAGCTGGAGAACAAGATTTAACACAGAAATCCAGAAAATTTTGGATATTTCAAAAGACAGATACTTCTTCTCAGTATCTATTAAAACACTAGTTTTCTCACTTGTCAGCCTCCCACCACACAAAATCCTCCTCCATGGGACTGGAATTTCCAAATTCAAGCCCTCATCTTGAGAGAGGATACTGGAGAGGGGCGAGGTCTGGGAGAACAGGTCTTCTCAGGGAGACCATGAGGATGCACCTGCAGGGCCCTCTCCATGGTGACTCAGCTCTTGGGAATTTATAGGCTTAACTCCCTGGAACTTGGAAATTTCCAAGTTCTGTGAAATCCTATAGTTCTGTAGGGCCTGGAGTAGCATCTCTCGCTTGATTCAAACTGGCCAATGGGAAGGGTGCCTGTGGTGTGGAACTTTTTGACTGTCAATAAAAAGGGAAAGACCAATCCAGTCGGGGAGCGCTGCCATTTGGAAATCTATGCCGTAAGCTCCCGGCCGATGAATAAAGCCCTTCCTCTTATAACTATGGTGTTTGGGTGCTCTTTCTCTCCATTGGGTCTCGTCTTCCTGCAACAATCTAATCATCTCCCTTCCATGAATTATTCATTGCAAACTCTCCTTCAGCCTTACTCTTCTCAAACATAGCCCTAGGGAACCAAGGCCCTTGAACCATCCAAGGGTAGGATGAATAGTGTGATTCAATTCCAATGTTGAGCAGCCCTCCTTCCCTGATCTGATCCCACCTTTATCCCAGTCCTCTAGGAGCTACCCAGGATTCACAAATCCCAAATTCTAAAGTTCTGAGAGCCCATGATCCCCTCAAGACTCATAAAAAATGTCTGAGCCTCATCCTTCTCCTCCCCTCGACCTTTCCTTGAGAGAGCCCTCCCTGCATCTGAATCACAGGAGCCAGCGTGGGAGCCTTGATTCCCACCCCTCACCCCAAGGCCTAGAAAGAGGTGTTCCTGAGGTCAAGGGGAAGGCCCCCTCAAGATGGGAAAGTAGGGGCACAAAGACAGAGGAGGGGAGGGATGACAGTAAAAAGGAAACAACTGCAGAAAATGAGAACTCCTGGGATTGAATGAAAAGAGCCAGCCCACAAAGCCTCACAGGAAAGTGGCCTCTAAACACAGACCTCCCAAGGTGCAAAAGTTGGGGCCACCACTCAGGGAGGCAGAGAGTAGGGAATCAATGCAACTTCAGCTACCCTTGGAAGGCCCAACCCTCATTTCCCTGGATGTTGGGCAAGTAGCAAAGGCAGTACGGTGCTCAAGTACCCTCCTGCCCCTCCCAAAGCACTATTCCCCACCATTCTACCCTGCAGGCACCAATTCAACAGTAAAAGAAAATCTGGGAAACAAAAGGGAAAGTCTGTACTGAAAAACAAGACATGCAGTGAGGGACAAAAACAGTCCCTCAGTGTACAGCGAGGGAGAGGTCCACACAGGGGACAAGGCGCAGTCCTTCAGTGGACACCAAGGGAGAAGTCTGTACTGTGAGACAAAGCTCAAGAAAAAGGAGTGAGGCATCCGGGGGCTAAACATTGCCCCAAAATGGGCAGAGTCAGAGAACTTCAGAGACAGAGTTGAAAGATGGAGTCAGGAGGAGACAGAGGCTGATCATCCTGATCTGTTTTACTTATTGTCCCCTACAGCCATGTGAATCTGAAACCCCTTATTCTTCTTCAGAAATGAGCCATCAGATGGTAAACCAAAGATCAGTTATTCCTTTCTCCATACCTCCTTCTCTACAACCCTTTATTCTGAAGATCTTACAACACCTCAAGCCTGTTACTGCAGAGATGGGTCATTACAGACCTGATTTCTTTTTGTTGCTGTAGCTGAGACAGAGTCTCAAGCTGTCACCCTGGAGAGTGCTGTGCCATCATAGCTCACAGCAATCTCAAACTCTTGCCTCAGTTTTTTGGGTTTTTTTTTCTACTTTTAGTAGAGACAGGGTCTTGCTTTT